GCTTCATATTCTGTATTAATGCAAATTTCTGGAGGATACATATGTATATATACTTCGTCATATGAAACCAATACTGGAAGACGTAGCTTTGAGTGTAATATTTGAGGCTTTGAAGCTTTTTCTCTTCTACATTATCTAGGGTATATTTGAACTGACCGTCGATTTACATGTAGATCTTCAACTTCACATTGAAAATTATATTTCACGAATCAAGGCACTAATTGCGCCCATCGATGAAAACTTGGAACAAATACAAGACATCATTGACGAACTTCATTCTACTCAGAGTAAGATATCTCAGTTTCTTTTCAATGCATGTGGTACAAGTATTAGTAGGAATTTTATTTTTACCAATGAACTTTAAGCATCTGTGACAACATAATTTAGGATTATGTTGTCACAGAAATAAAATTGTTTTAAGCAGGCTTTGAAGTTTCTACTGCGGTGAGTCTGAAGATGGCTGTCTTCTAAACTGTTTTAGTCATAAATCTTCTTGTCCTCGGCAAATTTTATTTTACTATAAGGAAAGATCAAAACACCACTAATTTAGTAATAATAATGTTATCTATTACAGGTATTATAGTTACTGCTCGGTTGGATGCCGTAACATCCATTGAAGAAGCAAAAGGTGGATTAAAATTTCTATTTGGGAAGGCTTCTTTTTTTAAAACACAGGTTGCAACAACAGATGCAAACTATGACAATTTTGTGGTAAGTTACACATTAAATATAAATATTATGTGAGCAAATATTGTAGTCTTATGTTTTAGTTTCAGCTGGTTAGCTAACAAAGAAAAAAGCTTGAGATATGAAGATGTCACTGCAATGAAGATGATGTTGTCATCTGAGATGTAATACCGTGTAGACTTCTCGGTAGAAACCAACATTTTAAAGAACATACTACCTTCTTTTTTGCTGAAGGTGGTTGGAATTGGTATTCCAGGAATTAAAGTTACTGATTACAATAAGACAACAAGCCAGAAGTTATTCCAATTTTCAATAAATTAGACAACTTAATATATCTACCAGACACAAAATTTTATTTTTATATTTCAGTGTCTATCTAATTTAAATCTTACATAGTACTTATATCTGTTAAATACCGAATAATTAAAAATGTATTAATGAGGAAGTTTAAACAATTAGCTCAATGAAGTGAATAGAGTTCAAAGAACATTATGATGGCGCTGTTCAACCTGCGAATGTTCACTTGTCTTGGATATGTTGAATGGTTGTCACACAAATTCTGTATATAATTTGTTCTTTCCGTAGCACTGAAATATCCATTTTCTGCATGCATTTGTGTTGTATGTAATGCATGTAATTAACTTCTGCATTGGCCTAGGGTTTCTCCACAAAGATAAGTTAGTTAACATAGCTATTCCAGGCCTGGTGACAAGTAATCATTTGCTAAAGGTTTCTTATCGAACATGTATATGCAGTTTTATCTGCCTTATTGTCTTATGTTCCCATATTTTGTTGTTTATCGTAGCGTGAACACCAGACATTGCGTAGGAAACTGGAACAATATGAACTTCAGTTGGCAGAAGAGTCTGAGGACAGTTCATAAACACTGAAAGGTTCACCAGGAAAAGGTATTGACTATTTTACTTTAACCAACCATATGTCTTGATGTTGCATAATGACGTCACATTGCTTTGCGAAGTTTTCTGGGTCCTTTTTAAGTTTTCTGTTCTTGGTCATAGATGATAATAAAACATATGATGATAAGAGTACTATGAAGAGAATTATAAATTTATCACTCATGATAACCACAACATATTTCTAGAGGGACTGAGAAAAACCACAAAACCTCATAATCAGTGTAGCGCATGAATGTGAAGCCATTACATTTGTGATTTGCCAATTCTGAACAGCACTTGTGATATAGTCACTCTGTGGTGCAGGATATTCTTTGAAAAGTCTGTTGTATACTTGGCTTGTTAAAAAATAACCCACTTTCTTTATAGACGCTGGAGGTTCATCACCATGTTCGCAAAAGCTTACCATTGGACTTTATCCTGAACTAGCTGCATCCAGTTCACTCTATCAGTTCTTATCTCGTTAAGGTCTGTCTTAACGTTGTTCTACCACCAACGCCTAAGTCCTCCCAGTTGTCTCCTCCATTCAGGCCTCCCAACCTATGCCCTATATACATTCCTCTATGAACCTCGGTTTATTTATGTGTCATTTCTGTCTGTCCAAATGTCTATTGTAACACATCTGGAATTGGTGAACAAAATTTGATATAGGGGAGATTTGCGAGCATTTGTTAACCCATTAAAGATTTCTTTGAATTATATAAGAATAATGAACACTTCACTTGAAGACCTACTTACATTACTGTTACCATATTGGCCACAACTATAGCCGCTCAGTAATAGGAGCTTCGCTCCTTGGTAATCACTTGACTCTTTTCAGGGGTGTTGACGGTATGTAACTCCCGACAACGAGAAGCTTCCTTTATCGCTGAATATAATACTTTATTTATACACAATTTAATTATTTAAGAATAAATACAGATGTGCAGATGATAATACTTGGCTTTAGCCACAAGACGATGATCTCAGAACTGTTGGGTTTGCGTGCGGCTACCTCGAAAGTTTGTTGAAGAGTCCTTTTCTCAACCTATTTAATGCGTAAGGTCCAGCAGCATTATCTGCTGAGTCACAATGAATCATAAAGTCTAACTAACTTTCTACACATTTCCGCCATAAATGTTGAAGTATGACACATGAGACTACAACCAATTTACGCCAGTTTATTGCCCTGGTGTAGAAACACAAGACTCCTGTGAACCGAAGTTCCTCGGACGTCTTTGTCCTAAACAGTTAGGTATATCGTATGCCATGAACTAGAAGTAAACATCCCAGTATTACCCTCCAAACACGACAACAAGTTAGAATTTTGAAACGAAAAGTAAAAAAAGAAATTCAGCCTAATAAAATAATAAAAGAACTAAATGGTAGGATCAAATTACCTCAGCAGAAGATGTAATTTGGACCGTTACA